TAATTAGGATACACCCTAAATTGCTATCTGGAATTTATTCAACTCTCTTCTCCTTTACTTTTGATAGTACCCACTCCTACTTCCTCAATCTTTGCCCTCAGGCCCTTTCACTGGATTCTCTCCCTCTGTTTGTCAGTTCAGTGTTGACATTTCCAAGGTTCCAGGTTTGGCCCTTCTCTCTTGGTTGCTCTGCCTTCTCTCTCTGGGAAATATCCACTCTCAAGGCCTATACACCATCCATCACCAATGATTTCCAAGTCTGCAACCTCAAACCTGACTTTATCCCTCTATAGTCAGGGTATGGTTGTATTTTTTGTTAGATATCTACATATACTGTCAACTCAAATGAACCAGGACCATATTCTTTGCCATCTTCCCCGAGCCTGTTTCTCCTCCTGAGCCCTCAGCTTACTTTATATCCACCTAGTAGTTAACCTCAGAACTCATTACCAGCTCTTCATCCTTGCTCATCCACACCTCCATCCCACCTGACTGGCCTTCAATGGGCTATCTTTGCTGTTACAAATCCACCTCAATCTCTGCCTGGCCCTTGTGACTGCCATCGCTATAGCTGTCCTGTCATCTCAGCCCTATAATCCCAGCCCTTAAAACGGCAACAACCTGATGACTTAGACCTGTGCCATCCAATATGGTAGCTACTAGCCACATGCCAGTATTTAAATTCAAATTTATTAAATCAAGTAAAAGGGAGAAAAAAAAATCCTCAGTCACACTAGTCACATTTCAAGTGCTCAAGAGCCACATGTATTCAACTCATCCACAAACGTCACCTCTTCTTGGAAACTTTCGCAACCCCTTGAAGTATATAAACCGAGGAGCTCTTTTGTTTCTAGCCTCATCCTTGTCTCATTGCACGGTAATTGTTTATGGGGGTATCGCATCCACTCACCTGAGCCCCTCAAGGATGGTGAGTGTTGAATCCATGCCATTTTTGTGTTCTGGGCTTTTATAGTGCCTGATGCATAGCAGACACTCATTTACTCCTATTTCTTTCTCTAAGAGTTACCTTCACGAGGAGGTCAGCCAGGAAGAAACTATAAGATGCTCATTTCATAATGTGATTCAAAAGCACAAAGGGAAACTCAATCACATGCCCCCGCTTTTCAGGTACTGACTCAAGTGGCTCTCTGAGAGTGGGCCCTTCCTTCCTCTACCCACCCTCCCTTCCAAGATCAGGCTCAGTTCTTGTCTTTTAGAACCACAGGGAAACAGTCTGGCAAGAGCCACTGTTGTACCAGCTGATTTAAATTGAAATGTTTTCCCCAGATAAATACGTGCTAAATAATATACCAGCTCTCCAGCCAAAGGGAAGTGACAGGCGCTCTGTAAATAAAGGCACTTAGTTGCTGGTAAAGAGCTGTAAAGTGGTTCTGAGCTGATGTTTGCTGACCAGCAAGAAGCAGCTTCACCTGCTTTATATAATTGTCACTGCAGTCTTGCCTGCTGTATATTAAAACTGCATCTCATAGACCCAACTGTCACATCGGATATACCATCCAGCATGGGGTATGCCACCTTTCTCTGTAATTGTTTTTGACAACCAGCCATCACATCTCAGATCTTTTCAGAAAGCGTCTGGTCCAAAGTCCCTAGGCTGGGTCAGTTCTGACACCATGTGGGCTAGAACAGTGGCACCAAAAGGGAATGTGAATAGAGAAGAGGAAAAAGAGGCTTTGTTAGTCTCAGAGACCAGATAATGCACACTGGCAAGTGTCTGAACCCAAATCTCAACAAAGACTCTACCTCCTCAATGTTAAGGTACATTTTTCATGTTACATGGTATCATGCTAGAAAAACTTTCCATTGAGATGCATGGATATTTTGGCCCCAGAGCACACACGCTTGCCCTGAGTCCACATTTCTTTCTTGCTGAGTTTTGGAGAAATGGTAATGTAGCTCTCAAGACAAAGCCGAGGATGCAGCTTCATAAGGACTGCAGAATAAATAGTGATGAAAAGTGGGTAGCAGTGGCCAGAAATCTATGTTGCTATCCCTCAGGGGAAGTTAGATTTGCTTCCCAACATGCAAAGAGTAACACGAAATCCATTTTGTACCCTGTAATTCCAATCTACTTGGAGCGTGGCCGTGACAAATACCTAGATGAAGGGTAATTAAAATATCTGAGGCCGATGAGCGTTCCAGCTGGTCAAACAGTTCTCAAGGAGGGACAGTGACAGGGAAACCTAGTTTGTCCCTCCAGCCCCATGGGCTGGGACAAACCCAAGGAGTGGGCTGTGTGATGAGCAGCCCAAGACGAATACAGAGCACTTGCCCGCCAGAGAGAAAGTCACTTCCTGTGCTGATGGCCACCGCTGGACTTTTGGAAGGTCAGAGCGTCCCCAGAGGAGGGTGTTAGAAACCAAGGACAAAAGAAGGGCAGACGGAGTACGAAAACAATGGGAAATATGGGCTCAGTGTGCCGGTAGCTTTGGCAGTCTCTCGCTGAGAGCAGAACGAAGTGCTTGCTGGCTGCTGGGGGGCACGGGCTCCACACCACTGCTGACCAAGAGTCTGAAAATTGCCACTGGCCATGGGGTACATCCTTGGCCTCCTTTGGTGTGTATATGTGTGTGTCTAGGGGGTGGGTGTACTAAAGAAGGAGTGCCCTTCTCTTCTTTGTGCAGGAAAAATATGCTCCCGTTCCCTTTCTTCCTTATCTCCCGCCAAAGCCTATTTTCCTTGCTTATGCCTGTCCTAAAACAGTAAAGAAGGCTTTTGAGAATCAGGTATGTGTGGAGGGGAGGGGAAGCCTTTTTATCAGCGTGGCCATCATACAGGATCTGAGAGGCTGGGGTCAGGTTTATGAGGGCTGGAAGGAACACCCATGTCAGACACACACGTAACTCAATCAGGCATTGAGATCCTGATCTATGGACCTTGACAATCACAATTATCGAACTGGGAGAAAACAGACATGCTGGGGAAAGGGAGTATTTTCCGGCCCCTCCTGCTCAGTTCCACCTGCCCCCCACCCCCCGCCCGAAGGGAGCGCTTCTCCTGCTTCCACTCCTCTCCATTCCCCTTGCTAGCTCCCGCCAGGAGAAGAGGAGCGTCTAACCGGGTTGGTCAGCGTGTTCACTGGACCGGGCCTTGTCAGCGTGCAGAATATTGTGCCTTAAAGCGGTGCACACGAGTCACCTGGGGACCCTGTTAGAATGCAGGTTCTGACCCAGGAGGTTTGGGGTGGGCGTGAGATTCTGCATTTCTAACAAGCTCCCCAGGGGCCGCCCATGCTGGGACGGAGTTGGGAGGACACATGAGGAAGAACAACTACTTAAAGGCAGGGACCAAATGGTGGCTTGCCTCTTCCACCTCCCAGAAGGCCGACTTACTGTCTCCTCATATCCTCTGTCACCTGTGCTCCCTGAGCAGGCAGGACAGAAGGCAGTCTCTGGCTCTCCAGTACATAGCTGGGTAGGTAAGACTCTCTTTTAGAGCCTTGATGTGTTGCTATGACCTGAGGCCTAGCTGATCAAGTGGATACCAAGATTTAGATTTGGGGGAGAGGCAGAGGATGGCAGAGTGGAGAGGTGAAAACCAGGCTTCAGACCATAGCAGTCAGGGTTGCGTCAAGAATAGAAGCCACTCTATTCCAAGTATAAAGAAAATTAGATGCGGATGCCACCATCGGAAGGGCTGTAGGAACAAAAGTCAAAGAGGCCACCACGAGCCATTGCACTCGCCACACCAAGTTGCAAGCCCCACGGGAGGTACTGTAAATCTCCAGGCAGCTCGAAGAAGGCCACACCACGCCCCTCAGTCCCTAGCAGCAAAGCCAGTGATTCTCAGAAAGCTCCTTTAAAAGCTGCTTTGAACCTCGCATCTGCTCAGGGTCTGGCTGCCGCTGCCTCCAAAGAATCAAGGTCTCTTTGTCTCTTCCAAATTCCAGATCTCGTCCCAGTGCCCAGCTCTCATTGGCAGACTCCAGCCCAGAACTGTGCAGGGCAGAGGATTCTAGGAACTGCCGTTCCCAGCTTTGCTGCACTGTTGAGCAGATGTTGGAAGGAGGTGGTGCTGGTGCTGAGCTGACAAAAGATCCAGCGGCACATGTCTGGGCTGCAAGATGGGGCTGAACTTTATCCCGTCAATAAGGTCGCGCTTCATATCCCAGCAGCTAGAGTTCTTACGGCTGTGCTCCCTCCACCTTTGGTCCTAGAATGATGGGATTCAGGCCCCCACCACGCACCCAATGTCACCCATCCAGCAGACCACTTATGACAACGATCCTGCAGTTCATGGCAAGCCTGCGCAGAAGCAGTCCTGCCAAGGCTCAGATTAGTCAGGCTGTTTGTTACAAGGTTTTGCTGTGCTGCCTCTCTGAGACTTCTAGATGACATCTTTACTAGCAGCTATCTGCCCAGGATCCCAGAGAAAATGACAGGGAAGATGGGGGCAGAGCAGAGAAGGTGGATGTACATCATTTCACTCTGGCATGCCTGCTGTAGAGAACATGTGGGCTGATGAGCATCACCTCTTGCTAAATGACTTTTTGTGTCCCTATAGTCCCCGTTGTCCGGGGGTCACCATCCGTAGGTCAGCGGATAACAAAGTAAAGCTTAACACCCCCATGCAGCTATAACAATGGCAACGCTTAACATAGGTCAATGGCAAAAATATATACTGCAGAGAAACATTAGGAATTGTTCAGCCAGCATCTTTTCAGTGCCTGACATTTAGCTGGTGACCCGGGTCACAGAGCCACTGTTTGGGAAGACTGAGGGCAGTGGCAATTGAAAGGCTGCTTTCCTCTCTGGGAAGGCAGGCTATTCGGAGTGTGGGTGTTCAGGTGTTCTCAAGCCTGCTTCCCGAGATGGTAAGAAGACGCGGCAGATGCCCCTTTGAAAGCCATCACCCGGACCACAGGTTTTACTGCCAGCAGGCTGGTGTGAGCCTCTTTGAATTACTGAGTGAAGGATATCCCTCTTGCCAGCCCCTGTCCCCTGTAGGCACAGCAGAGAAGTATTACAGGCTGTCCTTACCTTGGGAATTAGCCTGCAAGACCCCGATGCTGTCATCAAACTGCATAGATTTGATGTTGAGTGACGCCAAGATGCATTCCTTGTCCTGCAGCGAAGTATCATCAATATTATTCTGATTGGCTGACAGGATAACGCACATGTCACAGAGGTTGATGTTGACGGCCCTTAAATCAGCCCGACTTAATGGCGTACCCTTTGGCATCGAGGAAAGGGAAAAAAAAAAAAGAAGAAGCAAAAGTGAGACCGAGGGACGAGAGGGAAAGAGGGGAAAAAAAAATAAAAACAAATTAAAGATGGAGCCGGAGCTTTGGGAAATTATTTAACAAGTATCTTTTTTATGCCTTGACATTAAGCTGGCCTAACTACATTCAAGGGAATAGGAGCTGTGTGCTAATCTAAAGGGTAGTCGGTGCTGATGGCGGCATTTCAGGCTTGCTCTCCACACTCAATCAAGCCGTTGCTAACAAACGAGGGAGAGGAATAATGCCAGGGTTCTACATCTTCTTCCTGCCTGGAAATTGTCTTGATTTAAGAAACTGTCCTGTGGCAACCTCTGGCTTTCAGAATGTAACGAGGGGGTGGGTTTCAAATGCCTGTTTATTTAATAGCAGGTCACTTCTGTCTCGGGCAAAAACAGCAGCTCTGACTAGAATTTCCAATGCAGCCAAGGGGAAATAGCCAGTGAGCATGGTATGATGAGGTGGGACTGATAGCACTGTTCAACCTGGAGGACGTGAGAGGGATGGAATTAATGTGCATCTTGTAAAGGGGAGGGGGGAAGAACTTAAGCTTCAAGTCATATAATTTTATTGTAAATTTTCAGCAAGAGAAAAAAAAGCACAAGAAAATCGCCTAATTGACCAACAACAGAGTGATGGTTGAATACACCACTGGACATACATACAAGGAAAGTCTATGCAGCAGGTAAAGAGACCGAAACAGCTCTCCATGTAGGTGTAGCCTGGGCAGGATCTCTAAAATAGTGGTATAAGTGCAAAACAAAAACACAAAAACACAAGTCCTAGATCATTTAAAAAGTATTATTTCATTTATGTAAAAAGAAACCCACAAAATAAAACTATATATTTATGAATGCACTCGTAAATGCATGTACATTTGGAGAGAAATTTCAGGAAAAATATACACTAAACTAATAACAGTAATTACCTCTAGGGAGGAGAATAAGATTGGGGGTAAAGGGAAAAGTTTGTTTTTGACTTTACATACTTCTGTCTTGTTTGAATATTTTATAACAAGAACGTATTTGTATATTACCAGTGTAATTAAAAATAAATAAGCCAGTAAACAGATTTTTTAAAATCCCGTAACAACAAAAAAGCAGTGGGGGAAAAAAACCCAGAACAAGGAGGTAATGACAGAGAGGAAGAGAAGGCAAGCACAGGTAGGAAAGAAGGGTTAAGTGTCAGAGGGGAGAGGCGTGACCTCCACACGCTCTGTGTCCTCAGGAGGGATCACAGAAGAACTAATCAGGCCATCCATGTCAGGGCTCCCTAGGGGTCATGTGGCATCATTTTGGAGTTCACATACTTGGTCCTTCGGCCTGGATCCAGCTTCTGGTCTGCCTACGTGAAGATTTGAGTTGCCTTCAACTCACTGACCGCGTAGGGAGAGGGTTTGCCAACCCCCATATATCCCCGGATGCCTTCCTCCCATTCTCCCTCCTTCCTGGAGAAGGGGCTTTGGGATGATGGAACTTGGCCGCTCAGATTGAGACCATCAACCCCCTTTGATGCCTCAGTGAGAGACATGATTCTGCTCTCAGGCCCCAAAATACTGCTGCAAAGTGGCATTATGGAGCAAGAGGCATTTAGTGCTTTGGGGCTGGGAAGCTACTAATTCCAGCCTCTGGAGCAGTATCTTCTGAGAGGAGAAGAATCCCTCTTTTCCAGGGATCACTTGGTACAAAGTAAGTCTGTCCTGAATCATTTCGCCAGCGCATAAGCCTCAATTGCCTACATTCATATTCTTTTAATTTTCACCTTGTAGGGAATCTAGCAGTAATTGTGATATAAGACAATCCCCGCATAGTTGTATACACACGATTTCAAAACTCAAGAAATACTGATGACATATATAGAAACACCATGTTTCTCTGGACTGACTCCATACGTGTGGCACTGTTTAAACAATGAAATATGTGAAGACATAGAGGAAGGCCCATTTGTACAATATGCTGTGCTTGAGTGTGTTAAATTTCGGAGGGTTTAAAAAGGACCAGCAAATATGAGAGCTCATTCATATGTAGGCCAACAGGTGAGTGCATGTATACAAGAGCACACAGGAGACACACACATATACACACACAGAATGCACACACACACACACACACACACACACACACACACACCAAACATTACCTATACACCCAACACCCATACATACAGAATGCACACTCGTGTGCACGTGTGCACACGTACATACACATACACATGTGCGTGCACACACACACACACAGCCCAGCAAAATAATAAGCTCTTTACAAAACACTTTTAGACCCAGTCCATGTGTTCCAAGGGACCATGTGTAAAAGCACATGTACAAAAATAATTGTGGAAATACATAATCAAATCTAACATGACTGAAATTAGCAAGGTATATATCTGCTTATGCTCTTCTATGTGTATGACTATTTGTTTTTCTTCAGGCGATTATTTTTAACTACATGTGTTTACTAAATCAGCTTACTAGTTTCCTAAATCTAGAATTGTTTAAAAGTTTAGGAAAAATATATTGATTAATGATCAGGAAATAATTACGTGCCTCCTAGATCATGTATCCTGCATCTTTACACTAAATTGTCGAGTCTGAAACTGTTCCTTTTAGATTTGGGCCCTAGCATATTTTTCAATCAAGAATATCACATGCACATATGTGTGCGTACACACACAAGCCTATGAAAATATTGCTAGGCTTCTACATGAATGGGAGGCAGGGAGTGGCCAGAGGAAGGGCCTGGCCTTCCATACAACAGAAATAAAGAAAGAACTCTGTTAAATCCACTTAGTTAAAAACAGAAAGCAATATGACCAAGATTCACAGAAGCATTAATAATATCATAAATAAAATGCTAAAAATAGTTCCATAAGTAAATTCTGCTATAAGCATCATAATATCTCAAAGCACTAGGTTTTGGGTAGGCAAGACAGAGAGAGAGTGTATAGACATCGATATGGTTAATACATTTGGTATCAGCTAAACTTCATGCTTGATGAGCAGCTGAACTTGGCTGCAAATTCCTTTTAATAAGGTCCCCCAGGGTTTAGATATTCCTAGACAGAGCATAAGGGAAGGGCTGAGTCCTCAGGCCCATAACCGGATGAAGAAGCAGAGGCATGATCAAAGCTACAGCTATTATATCCATCTGGGATTTTCTTTTGTGAATGAAAAGAAGGAAAAAGCATCGATAATGTGACCTTGGACTTACAGGCAATATGGACACTTTGGGGAAGTTATGAAGTGTCTCCCATTCCCGCTTGAGGTACTCAATGGAGCCCACAAACACGATGTGCTTGAGCTCGTGGTAATGAAAGTTGCTGGCACGGAGTGGCATCACCAGGTTCCGGAGGCCAATCAGGGCTGAGCTGACATCACCAAAGATGCAGACCACGACGTGGCCGCTCAGGACGGTCATGGCGGCTTCACTTCGAGTCTGCAACATGGAAAAGCGCACCAGCATTGGAGAAAAGACCTCACAGTGTTTTGTTAAGTATTTAAAAAAACACTTTCATAAAGATAGACATTTGCTGAGTGCTTACTCTGTGTTATTATTTTTATTTCATCAATGTTATGTGTATGCCGCATAAACTTACAATTTGAGTATGTGTGTGTGCATTATACTGGGGTCACAAATATATGTAAACATATACCCACACATAACCTGACCTTCTTTGTCACAAGATTTAAGAAAGTTATACCTTCATACATATGAGCAGGTGGTCTTTCCTGATGATATTTAGGTGGGGGGAAATATGAGAGAATAGTAATATTTATGTTGTTTAAAAAGAGAAGTCTTAGTTCACATGAAATTTTTGATAAAAGGAGTTGTCTTTGCTGTCTCTCTTGCTGAAATGATATTAAATTGGTCAGATCCTATGCTAGTCTCAGCTTGAGAAGTTTCAGTTTTGAGTTCCAGACTCATCAAAGGGATTTCACACTACGTTATCACATCAACAGGTAGAACATCACATCCTCAGCCAGGGGCTGGCAAATTATGGTTCATAGGCTAAATCTGGTCTACAACCTGCTTTGGTATGGCCATGGCTGGTGAGCCAAGATTGGTTTTTACATTTTAAAATGGTTGCAAAAAAAATAAAAATGAAGATTTCATAATATGGGACAATTATATAAAATTTAAATTCCAACAAAATTTTATTGCAACTCAGCCAATCTTACTCATTTAGGTATTGTCTATGGCTGCTTTTACATTGCAATGGCAGAGCTGATTAGCTGTGACATAGAGCGTATGGCCAGCAAGACCTAAATTATTTATTATATGATCCTTTGCAGAAAGAGTTTGCTGACCCCTGTCTACTGCTGCCTTGGGTTTTCCAGGGACTGCCTGGAGTGGCCCACCTGTGAAAGTCATCAGACTATTACTTTAGTCACAAGACTATTCCCAAATAACAATTAAAAGGATCTAGAGAAAGGTCAGCCAGAGAAACAAGCCCGTGTCTTCTCCCAACCCTAGGTTTGGATCTACAAAGGAGACAAATAAACGAATAAAATCGCTCCAGTGAGAGGAGGACCCCAGCTTCCCACACAAATGGTTAGCCACTGCTGCCCCTTTGCTCACTGTGTTAGTGAAGAGAATAACGCAGGAGGCCAGTTAGTGGGCCTTTCTCTGCTTCTCCTTCTGGTCCAATGCCTCCTATTCTTGCCTTGCTTGCTCCCTCTCCACTCACTGCATGCCTGGATGGTCCCATGTGGCTCACAATGCTTTGGGGGAGGCATATTAATGTCCACTGCACATATCAAACTCTGCTTGATTTAATCCCTAGAATTGACCAGTGTATTGATTGTTTAAATGCCAATATTGCAATTCACGACAATGTCAGGGTTATTACAGTAACCCCCAAGGAGAAGAAGAAGCTAGCTTTCACTCCCTGATCGTTACAATAAAGCAGGGGCTGTCACCATTATCGGTTTCCCTCTGCGATAATACAGTTATACCTAAGACAGGGGCTGTAAGAAATGTCTTATAAATGGTGACCAAGAAGGACCCACTGGGAAGTCACATCCCACATCACCACTTCATGGACAAGACCTGGAGTTAGTTATCTTGGCTGCTTGGAAGTGTGAGTGCCTGGGTACCACCAACAGAGCATCAGTGAGTCTGTAACATGCTGTGATGGGGTTTCTAATTACTTTTAATTGGTCAGGTCACCTGGGAGTCTAGCTCTCTTCAGTGAGCCTCAGGAATACAACCTGGGTTCAGAGTGGGGGCTGGAAATCTGGGGAGTTGAGGAAGTCACTGGGAGGTGAGGAAGGCACCATCTAGCAAAGTGGCTGACCACAGGAGCTTAGCTCTGGGGACCAAAATACCAATCTTTAGATTGGCCACAGTAACATGACCCACAGAATCTTGTCAAGACCCCAGTTCCTGGAGAGTCTGATTTTGCCAGATTTAAGACCCAGTACAGCAACTCACATGCACATCTGCTTCTTACACATCCTTGAAGGCTTAACCCAGTCTGGGCCTTCATTGCCTTAACCCCTTCAAAGCACAATCTGCGTGCAGCCAATAAGACTTTTCTGGCCACTTAGATACATCCTAGTCCTTCTCCCCTAGATTTGAATCTTGTGCCTCATAACACAGCTTTAAATATATTGTTCCATGGTTACATTTTACGTCTTCTAATTAAATGATCATTTCCTCAAGATTGAGGCCATTTCATATTTTCTAACCCCCAGAGCAGTTAGTGTCCTGCATCCAGTGGGTACATGCAACCCCAAAGCATCTTCACACAGCTGGCTCTTCTGAGTATGCTCATCTCTGCTCCAGTGTGACTTTGGAGAGGGCTTCTTGGACCACACTAACTAGCACCTCCCAGTCCCTTTCTAGCCCATGGCCCTGCTTGATTGTCTTCATAACACTGTAGCAGTATCTGAAATGTTTTTCTATACTCATCATCTACCTGGAGATCTTCTCTTTGCCCCACTAGAACATCAGCTAGTCAGGGACTGTACCCCCAGCAACAAGAGCAGTGCCTAGCACATAAATGGCCTGTTAAAAATGTTTTGTTAAGTGATGTTATTTTTCAGATGACAGGTAGTAGTAACTCACTTCCCTAAACTCTTTCATGCCAGAAGGGAACTCAGTTTGGATGTCAACTAGGCATACGCTCTTCAGGAATATAGGCAAGCCATTAAGACCCCGGATTCCAGATAGAGCACCAAGCCCTTTTACCTGCCACAGATGGGTAGTGCCACTCTGAGTTTTGTTCACCAGGGCAAAAGTGCAGTGAATACAACAGGATGTAAATACACAGAGCACCTTTGTGATTAGAACCATTTGCGCTCCTGGTAAATTGGACAATTGCTGTTTGTTGAGAATTCTGACTTTCTGTGCTTTTGTCTGCGACTTTCACACCTCCAAGACAGTCTCTAGCACAACCCTGTATTGGCTCTTAATTGCTTGATTATAATTAAACTGAGAAAACACACACATACACACATTCCAATAAAACGCAGGGAAGTCTAGTGGATTAGAGCACAAAGCCATTCTGAGGGACTCCTTTTCTAAGAAGGGTGGCCACGACATCAGAAATGATAGGATTTTCCCCGCTGACATAAAGAAGCAGGGCACAGTGATCTGCAACGAGAAGGCGAAAAAGAGAAAGAACCCTTCCACCTGACCTTCCTATTAATCCATTTTTCATGGATTAGCAAGACAATGAACTGTAGGGAAGCTGGTGTGGGCATTCAAACCTAAAGCTGTTAACAAGACAAGTCTGGAGAGTAGATGGATTGTTCTCTAGGCTGACATTCTTAGGACAGACCAGAAAAAGCCCACTGCTGCTGCCGAGATGACACAACCACAAAACAGGGCTCTGAGCTCCCACCTCCCCGAGATAGACCCATGCATGGGTCATCGTTGTCATCATCACCAGATGCATTTTGCATCATGCGTTAGGCAGGATCCCAAATACGCAAGGCTATTACCTAGAAGAATGCAAGATGTTATTATAAACAAATAACATTGTTTATTATATTGGTAGCATTCACATTTCCTCATGGCATTTCATAATAATAATGATAATAATAGTAAGTAACTTTTGAGTCCCATGTGGGTTTTACTCTTCAGTACAACCCTAGGGGTTAGGGTCAATCTCATCTCACCTTCTTAGATATAAGAGAACTAAGGTGTAAAGAAGCCAAGTAGAGCCACATTCGTAGGGATGACAGTACTTACTGCCTCCCATGATGCCTTTCACACAGCATATGACCATCCCCTATCATGATGAGCCAATAAATATTCAGAGATTTAGAATTCCATCCTTGGTTCATATTCTGATGAGGGTTCTAGTTGTTTCAATGTGTCCCTAATTTTAATTATCAAAAATAATTAGGACCAGGGACTGTATCTTCCCAACATCCAGTTAGGGAAACCCATTCCTGGCAAATGTAGTTTGGGACAGAAGTGAACGGCATGGATTCTGTGGCCCGTCACTCACCAGGATGACTTTCTCTATCTCCTTGGGTGCGCACCAGTGAAACATGCCAGTAGAATCATACTTCTTCACGTTAGAGTCCATGTTGTCAATCTGATCATTGCCAGGAATTAACAAGGGGTCATGCCTGGGGAGAAAAGGACAAGAAAACCTAAGTGGAAAATGTAATAAATTATAAATGGAAAGTGCCCCCTGAGTTAGATCTCAGAGGAGTTGAAAGATGCACAGGAAGTGGCTGTCACTGAAGGCCATTCTTTTGCTTACAGAACCCATTCTTTGAAAGACAACTACCCCAACTGCCATCACCACTTGGAAATGCAGGTGACCTTTATCAGCTAATAATTCTACCTTCCCCTCCTGTTCCTATTTCTCTAAAATGGCCTTCACGTCATTCTGTGGATTTAGCCTCCTTTTCATGGATATCCCTCCCTCCTATTCTCATTTTACCAGCTATCCAATCTCCCCAGTGACCGCACGCGTGCACACACACACACACACGCACACGCACATGCACGCACTCACACCAAAGGGTTGTTATTAGCATTGGCAATGAAGAGGAAGGAATAGGAATAGAGCCTCATGCTGACTGACTGGCATGAGGATGGAAAGCCAATTACTTGCTCTTTCTGACTACAACTTCTGACGTGATGCTCTTCGCAGTAAAAGCTTTAACAGGCTGCACTTTAAATATTTTAGCAATTTGCCCAATCAGATTTTGCTCTCCCCGGCTGAAGCCCTTTAAAGATTCAGCAGCATGTCACTTCAGAGCAGATTGACTACCAAATGCCCACATCTGGAATACATGATTTCAATACCAAACAACACCCTCTCTCCTTGCCGTGACAACTGTATTTGCACTAACGGTCCAATGACGGTCTCCCCCACCCCCACTTCACCTCCCTGTTGCAGCATTCCTTGGATGGGAGCTCACGCTCAGGTGCATCTTAATAAACTTGTCTTGAATTCGCTCTCTTGCCTTGTTTACTGGTGGAAAGGGAAGATGCTGCTCTAGAGACTTCCCCTCCAGTGGGTTGGCAGATCTTCGCCAACAACCTTAGGAATTATAATAAAATCAGGCAGGTCTAACAGGCTTACAGCATAAGAAATATACTCCTACAGCTTGGACTATGTCCATTGTCAGGTTCCATCTGTGATAGTGATTTCATATTCCCATTTGAGGGGAGGTCATTTGGGTTTCTACAACATTGACTGCATATAATTAGGACAATGTTCCAGGAATACCTAGCTCTCATTGCAGGGGAACTATCTTCCCTAAATAACACTGCCGATTTAAGACAGAAAATATAAATAGGTTCAAATTCCAAAAACTTACTATAAAGTGATTTTACCTTTTAAGTTATCTATTTCAAGCATCAAAGGGTAATCTTTATTGAGTTTTCAGTATTTCTCCCTCTGAAATTTCTCTGATGCTTCTCACTTATATATCCACTACACAGAGTGGGACAGGAATGGTCCACATACCTAGAATTAATCTTTCAAGATATCTATTGTATTTCCCCTCCCTTCAATATTCCTTCCACCCCCACTCAAGATGGGAAAATTCTCGCTGCATTTATTTATTCCTGAGAATTTGCTTTTAGGCTATACCAAATGACAAATACCCTGTAAGGCAATCCTGCAAAGTTACCTTCAACAAACATGCTGGATTACTATAGGAACTGTCATATCTAATCTTCAAAGGGGAAAAACACTCCACCTTGGAATAGCGTCTCAGTAGCTCAGCTGTTGGGAGGTCTTAAGGTGTTGTAAACTACCAGGCCACCTTTCAAATACTGAACTCGGTCAAAACTGCTAAAATAAAATGGCAGTTTCTCTTAAGAACTGGTCACAGATCAGGGAAAGAGCAACTTTTGATTTTTTTTAACGTCGAAAAATCTTCAATAGTTGTTGTAGATACCATCTGGGATAGGTAGGTGGATAGAAACCACCAAGAGAAGAGATTTAAGAAAATGAACAGAATGAACTCTTCCCAGCCCTAGAAGAACATATTTTGCAAGAGGATCTTAATAAATTTACCTCAGAGAAATAGAGCCAGGTTCAAATTCTCTTGCCCAGTTTATTGGTTAGAGAGGAAGTATTATCTCAAGAAGGTCTGAGTACTGCCCCTAATGCATTCAGGATTTAAAAGACAGCCAGGAGAATATTTACATAAAATCTGCAAGCAAGCAAATGATACAGCAAGCTGGCCAAAATTCCTTCTAGAAAATATGTGTCTTGGGTGGAAGAACATACATTTGGGTTCCCTACCTTTTTGGGAAAGAATCATTCTTTGGTCACAAAGGCCTCCAACTTTCATCTTAGAAAAGTAAATAAACAAGGCTGATGATCAGTCGTCCCTCAATAAGAAGAAAAAAGGCAGCCTTTTGTTTTCTTTTTATTTTTTCTTAACATTTATTCATTTTTGAGAGTGAGAGTGACAGAGCATGAGCGGGGGAGGGGCAGAGAGAGAGGGAGACACAGAATCCAAAGCAGGCTCCAGGCTCTGAGGTGTCAGCACAGAGCCTGACACGGGGCTCGAACTCTCGGGCTGTGAGATCATGACCTGAGCTGAAGTTGAACACTTAACCTACTGAGCCAACCAGGTGCCCCAAAAAGATAGTTTTTTAATGTCAATCCTCATTAAACTGGGGCTGGGGTTTGGAGGAAGCAGGTATAATTTCTTTTCAAAAAAAATCCTATTTATTCTTGAAATAGAGTTGATATACAATTTTATATTAGTTTCAGGTGCAGTTTGACACTAGGGTTGTGAATCATGATTGGCACTGGAATATCTAGAAGCATCAGAGAAGTCTCAGTGGTATGCCTTGTTGCAGTAGGTACTCCCTACATACCTCTCACCTTGGCCTGGACAACTTAAATGTATAATCCAAGATATTCCTCAAAAAGTTTTATCTGAAGAACATTAAAAATCTCCTCAAACAAAGATATTTTCCTTTCTGACCAGCAGGGTACCTGGAATTCAAACTTTGATTTCTTAAATCGTCAAACAGCCAATAAACATAAATTTTCTATTTTGATTCATGAATGGGAGATATCCTAATGATGAAGACACAGTCCCTAGTCAAAAGGAGGGTCATAATACAGCAAGAAAGAGAAAATGTCAATCAATAGTTGTGATACACCGTGATGAGTGTCATATCATGCAAGGTGGTATGATAATACCAAGAAAGAAACTGTTAATTGCCTGGTATTTGAGAAACATTAAGGAAGGCTTCCCAGAGAAGGTAACATTTTATCTGAGCCCTGAAAGGTGAGGAGCAATCTAAGCATATTTTAGTGTTGATCCACTAGCAGCCATTAGAACCTGCTCAGAGAACTGAGGCCCAAATGAGCCCACACATGGCACCCCCAACCACGGTTGAAGATGTTGGCTGTGGTATTGGCCCAACCTGAGGTATAGAAGACTCAGGCCAGGCACATTAGCTGTCTTTTTTTTTTTAATTTTTTAAAAATGTTTTATTTATTCTTGAGAGAGAGAGAGACAGAGATGAGCGGGTGAGGGGCACAGTGAGAGAGGGACACAGAATCCGAAGCAGGCTCCAGGCTCCGAGCTGTCAGCCCAGGGCCCGACGTGGGGCTCGAACTCACAAGCTGTGAGATCATGACCTGAGCCGAAGCTGGATGCCCAACTGGCTGAGTCACCCAGGCGCCCCATACAGTAGCTGTCTTCTGATGTGCAACGGTGGTCATCGAGTGGAAGGTGGAATCCACCGATTGTGTACAACTGATTCAGAACATGCGACGAACCATGTGTGGAATTTCAATAGAACAAAAATCAAGTTTCCAAACACAAAGAATGTTATAAAAATGGAAGGTTTAAAAAAAAATGACATGAGTTGTGTCCCAAGGCAGTGGATTTCTCATCACTTGAGACATTCCAGAAAAGCTGGGATATAGAGATTTCATTCAAAACATTGGGTGAACCTAGAAGACTCTCAAGGTTTGAAGCACTGTTCTCTCACTGAGGAAGACAAGGCTAGGATTCTGAAATACTCGGCCACTGCTGGACATCAAAAAGCCAGAAGGCACTAAATAACTGAAGAAAGGTTGTTGTTGGAGCAAAGATGAGAGATAGGAAGAATTAAGACTGATCACTCTAGAGTTCCATGAAGGACCATAACTGTTTTTCCATCTGGGAGGAATATGGTTCATTCCAGCAACACGAGCATCCATAACCACTTTGAGCCAGACAGGATAAATTTCTTTACCATGTCTGTTCCTGTAGTAACTTCAAGTGGCTTAGGTTGACTTGAACTCCTGAGAGGTCTCTGACATAGGTGAACAGTGAAGAGCCAGTTGGCTACAGGAACATGTGCTGCTAAACTGAGATTGATGGAGCTTATATAAACAAAAGAAAGTTCAAGCATTTGCCACTGAGCACAACAACCAACATTGCCATGGTCAGAGGAGGCCCAGGACAAGACCTGGCAGTTTGCTGTACACAGAAAGGAAGACCACCAGAAACCTCTCTGAACAAAGCATCCCAGCATCACTGATTCACAAAATGATTAAGAGAACCCATTCAAATGTCCTCAGACAATTCCTCAATGACCACTTAGTTGGAATCAAGGGCAATACTAGATATTGTCTTTCCTATCTTAATTATTTTATACATTTCCCCAACTCACAAAGTAATCTCGACTCCCATAAAATGCACCATAATTGATTCAAGGCTCATTTGTCATTTACCACTGAGCCATGTACATGCGTTATTTTAGGATAACAGGAATGCCATGAGGTGAGGTCTATCTGCTGCAGAGTTGTTAAATGGGCACAATTTTGTCCCCCACAAGGTCTGTACACTAAGTTTACAAAGCCTGTAAACTCTCAGTACCTCAGGATGTCACTATATTGTACAATATGGCCTTTAAATAAGTAATTAAATTAAAGTGAGGTCATTAGGATGGGCCCTAGTTGAATATGGCTGCTTAATTTATAAGAAGAGGACATTTTGACATGGACATGTGCAGAGGGAAGACATGTGACATGTGAAGATAGTGGTATAAGTCAGACATCTAGAAACCAAGGAGAGAGACCTGGAACAGAGTCTTCCTTCTCCTACTCAGAAGGAACCAACCCTACTGACACCTTGATCTTGCACTTTCA